TAATATTTGACAACATTTTTACAAATGAAGATAATTTATTTTTATTCACTACATCACCTCACCTGTTTCACACTACTTTCACACCACCTTAGGCGACCTCATGTGCTAATGCTCTCTCAGCCCCCCCCACCTCCCTCTTCCCTCCCATTTTCTCCATCTTTAATATCAGGCTCATGACTCCCTTTAGTCTGAGTTATTAAAATGATAATAGATTCAATTACTTCAGGAAATTGGATCTTTGAGGTTCGGCTAAAAGGAGGCAAACAGGAGGGGCGGGGGGGCAGCGGGGGGGGCGGAATGACGCTGCAGATGAAAAGGTAGTAAACTGGATGATTACAGACAGTAAGTGTACGTGAGCTGTGAGAGAAGTACGACTGTATACGTTTACTGCCCCGTGGGAAACGGAGGCTTCAGCTCCACAGTTCCTCCTCGTTTGTCTGTGTCAGTGGCCGCCGCCGCCGCACGGTGATAACTGCACATGGAAGTGGAAGAGGCTGAGCCTGAGCTGATGGATGAACAGTCATCCAGGCCGTCCCACTGGTGGACGTTACTCTGGGAAACAGGTGAAGCTGATCTGAGGCCAGTTCTGGAAATGATGAGAAACGAACAAACGACGACGTCTGAGTCGCAGAGACAACGACGAAAGACGAACAAACACATTTGTCTCCACGGACTTGAGTTTTAAAATGATTAATTTAAACTAAAATTTTATCCCTGAAAAACTCTCTGTGACAGGGATGGAAATGTGAGAAGTTTTTTTTAGTCAGAAATATATTGAAGTCATTTTGTCAAGTAGAGCAGAGTGGAATATTATCATTATAATTATACAGAGTTCACAGAGCCACGGAAAAAAGAAGAAAATTCTAGACTGGTTCAGTTTCTCCACCATGTATTTACAGCTCACAGCAGGCTGCTGCTCACTGTTCTCAAACTATGGCACATGTACCACTGGTGGTACCTGGGTTTAATCATAGTACATGGACCAACCTAATACTCTAATGACCTAAGTATGTTCACCTGGTGTGTGTGTGTGTGTGTGGTTTTAGTGAGTTTTAATCAGTTAAAAATAAATATTTACACGAGACCATTTATGTCAGTGACCAGTAGGGGGCGTCAGAGGACTTTCAGCACAAACATTTTTTTTTCAAGATCTAAATTTTAATCGACAGGAGTATTAAACATAATGAAACCTGACTTTGTTTACTGAGGTGGAGGTCTGAGGGGGGGAGGGGAGGTCACCATGTCAGACTGTCCAGTTTTAGGGGGAGAATCTGTTCAACAGAAGGAACATCAGCAGAAATCTGTCTGGATTTCTGAGAGTTGACGAACTCCAGACCATGAAGAGAAGAAGAAGAAGCTTCTGGAAACTTTTGACACCTACAGTGGGGTCAAATGAAGTCAACGTTGTGTTTTGTTTTTTTTAATCATTTCTCCTGTGGAGGTTCAGGCTCAGACGGAGTCTCTGATTGTTCTCTGTGTCTTCTCCTCTCCTCAGACCACGTTTCCATCGGTGGCCTCGGGGATAGTTTCTACGAGTACCTGATTAAATCGTACCTGATGTCTGACAAGACCGACGACGAAGCGAAGACCATGTACTACAGCGCCCTGGACGTAAGTCAGAACGGATGAGTCTGGAACAGTCGTGAGGTTCAAGAGTGGAATTTAAAAAATAACATTAGAAAAAATAATCACATCGATGGACTGTAGTGTCTGTGTCTGTGTCTGTAGATCTTTGGTGTTTTTTGATGATCTGAGGAAAATGTTTTATTTTGAAAAATGCTTGGATACTTTTCTAATTACAACTCTACTGGAGTCTTTTCAAAATAAAAGACTTAAAATAGAAGACAGAAGAGCAGCTTTTTAATTTATTTCCTCCCCTTCCTCCCCACATCCCTGCTGTACCCACGAGCAGCTTTTTAATTTATTTCCTCCCCACATCTCTGCTGTACCCCCCGTCCTCCCGTCCCCCTCACCCCTGTCCCCCTGACCATGTTGAAAGGTCATCACCATGTTCACGTCTCTGCCTGTTCCTACAGGCCATCGAAGCCAACCTGGTGCAGAAGTCACCTGGTGGTCTCACCTACATGGCCGAGTGGAGGGGGGGGATCCTGGACCATAAGATGGGTCACCTGGCCTGCTTCTCTGGGGGAATGATCGGCATCGGGGCCGACGATGGAGCGCTGGACAAGAAGCAGCACTACCTGGACCTGGCTGCAGAGATAACACACACCTGCCACGAGAGCTACACACGCTCAGGTGAGAGTCTGGAGAAAAAAGACCACGGAAATATATGGTTCCTAACAGTTGAAACCTGAGCGACTTATAAGTAGAGGAGGTGTCATTAGGTGGTCCGTCTGGGAATCGAACCCAGGACTGTCTGCTGGCAAGGCAGACGTGCTAACCACTGTGAGGGAACTGATACAAATTTGCAAAAACAGTTTTGGCTTCAAAGTCAAAGGAACTCGTAAACTCATGTCTTCATTTATTATTCATTAGAATTTCGTTGTATTTTATTGACGATCCCTGGACCGGACCAGAAATGTTTGATTACAAGATGTGAGGATTTTAGTGTCTGCTTTGTACCTGCCTTAAACTTCACTATCAACGGCAGATTAAAGAAACTCCGTCTGTTCTAAAACCCAGGACTGATCCAGTTCTTGTTTCTGTGTCTCCTTAAAAAACTAGTGACTTTACTTGAAAAGTGGGACAAACAAACAGGGAAGAAAATGAAACCGACGTTAATTGTCGGTTACTCTCCGTCTGTAATGTCAGCAGACGCGGATGCGGCGCTGAGTAACGACAGTCGGGCGTAATTCACGGCTGAACGAAATGAGAGATGGAGTGTGGTGGAGCGCACGTTGTGATAAAAATTGATTCCAAAAGAAAATTTACTGCGGAACCAAACTATAAATTTGCTCTAGTCGAAGACGGATTGCACACAGAGAAGAGAGATAAATGCAGGGGAAGAATATAAGGAAGAGGGAGAGGAAGGGTGAGGAAGGGTGAGGAAGGAGGGTTATTAACAAACCTGATCTGTTTGAGACGACGCCGCTGTGCAAAAGTTTTAGTTTTTTGGTTGTAAAAAGAAAAGAAGATTTAGTCAACATCAACCTGCACACAGCATGGCTGTTTGTTGGTTTCTTTTTCAGCCGGGGCACAGGGCTGGTTTCTCAATCTGAGGGAGGCAGCCCCAGTGGTGACAGCTTCCAGGGACCAGGCTAAAAACCACATGTGGATTAATAATTAATCATCTTAATGTCTCCAAACAGACCAACACTCAGTGATGTTGATAGTGAGTTCCTGAACTTCATGTTCGTGTCTCGGTTCTTTTCTTTTCAACAGCCACCAAACTCGGACCTGAGGCGTTCAGATTTGACAGCGGATCTGAAGCCACGGCGACCAGGCTCAGTGACCGATACTACATCCTGCGACCCGAGGTCATCGAGAGCTACATGTACATGTGGAGGCTCACCCACGACCCCAAGTACAGGGAGTGGGGCTGGGAGGCTGTCCAGGTAAGAGACTGGTTTTTAGGGGATCAAAATATATATTAGCGTACTATGTAATATCTGTAAGAATCGGTGTCGGATTTGCGATAACGCAATTCATCAAATGATGAGTGCCCTAAAATAGTTTTGGGGATAAACGGCTGTAAAATAAAGTGAAATTAAAGTCACTAGATGGCAGCATTGCAGATAATATAATTAATCACATACTCATACAGTGGTTTGTACAGATAAATAAATAAATATCACCAGGCCTATATCGGTATCGGTTGATATGAATCGGAAATTAAGTGTTAGGACAATATCGGCAAAATTTTAATATGGGACATTTCTATGTTTTTTTTCATAATTTAACTACAAATACATTTTAGTTAAATAAAAGTACTTTAAATGTCATACACCTGTGCTGTTGTTAACGACACCAACCAAACAGCCGTGGCCGCTTCACTTCCTCAGTCGGTGTTAAATTACTTCTCTGATTCTGCGGCACAGTGGACGAACTTCCCCATCGACCAATCACAAGTGAAGGTCACGTGAGGTACACTGTCATTAACGCTGCGGTAGAACAGGCATTAGCTGCATCAGACAGCAGAGGGCGGCGTGACAGACTTAGCGTTAATTTATTGCGCGCACACACAGGAGTGAAAAGATCAGAGGGGCGACTCCGACAGGTCTGTTATTCTCTGTAACAAAGGCTGAAGACGATGCATTCATGGACACACAGATACATGATGGGGTCCTGGTTAATTACTGCGTAGCAGCCAGCGCTTTGTAGCAGAGATGATGGCGTGCTAATAGGCTTGGCTAACCCAGCCGCTCCACATTAGCATAAAGTTGAGCCCTGCGTACGGCAGCGGCTGAAGGTTTAGACTCAGTGGTGGGATTTAAAGTTTGGATCTGAGTTCACAAGACATCCAAAGTTCTTCTTCTGTGATTCTACATGTAGTATTGGTGTCACTACTATGATGAATAGTTATTAGTTGTCAGTCTGTCGCTCTTCAGTATTATTTATGAAATGTAAATGATTGAACACGTCCAGCGACCTTCAGATTATTTTAACTGTGTAGATGGAAACTACAGTGTGATCTTTGTATTTAACTGTTCAAATTTGACTCGACTTGTATTGACTACTGCATGTCATAATCCACAGTATTTCCATGCAGTACATGCTTCCCGTCAGTGTGTACCCATCATTTGAGCAGGTCATTAACAGGATGTCGAACCCAGAACTGCTGTGTTTGTTGATGTGGAGACTGTGAGTTCATTTCCCCGACGTTTCTTCCCCGTCAGGCCCTGGAGGAGCACTGCAGAGTGGATTCTGGTTTCTCCGGGATCCGAGACGTTTACACGGTGACAGTCAGTCACGATAACATGCAGCAGAGTTTCTTCCTCTCAGAGACGCTCAAGTGAGTCATTCTCTGTTGGCATCAGTAGAAAAACTGGATCTGAAGTTTCTGTAGAGAGCTGCACGTGGTCTACTGTAGTCTTCACACTTTTGTTCCCTGCATCATGACACATGAGTACATACAGTATATGACATACAAGTACATATATGACATACAAGTACATATATGACACACAAGTACATGGTTTTACTGTTTGAATCGTGTCCAGGTTTCAGTGACACATGAACAAAGTCGTTTCTTCCGACCAAACTAAAGCAGCTGTTTCTCCTGTCGGTGCAGGTATCTGTATCTGCTCTTCTCAGACGACGACCTCCTCCCCCTGGAAGACTGGGTCTTCAACACGGAAGCCCACCCGCTGCCCATCGTCCGTAAGAGCTGTCTGCAGGACGAAGCCACACAGACGGCCTCCAAATAAGACGGACCGCGGCTTGAACACACAGATGGATTAAAGGGGAGAAACGTCACACGTCCAAATGCAGATCCGGTGCAGGTTTAAAATCCCAGGAGCGTCGTACCAACCGTCGAGTCTTTTCCAGAGATGGATGTTGTCGTCTTAGGCTGCGGCGGTTTTTCTTTGGCCTCGAGGACTTCCTGTTGCCACTTGTTTTGTTTTTTGTTTTTTTGTGGACAATCAGAAACAAACAGGACTTCTGTGAGAAGAGCACCTTTTTCTTTCCTTCTTTCCTCTGTGAGGAAACAGCGCAACTTACAGACCCAGATGAACAGGAAGTGGGTTGAATTATGGGCCATCAGTGAAACGCAGAAAATCACAAGTTTTTTTGCTCTTTTTTTTTTATTTAAATCTTGACGAATTTTTTTTTAATCTTATCTTTTCTTTTCTTTTCTCTGTCGTGAGTATCCACACTTTTGACCAAAGGTTTCTTTCCATTTCCTCTCTTTAGTTCAACTGTGGTGTTTTTTGGTGAGATTTGATGGGAAATATAAATTGTATAGACAAACAGGAAATCAAACACACCTCCAAAACTAATGTTGATGTCAAGTTTCCCACCGAAACCTGTTGCAATGGTCAGGAGACGCTGGGACGGTGACGACTGTGTCTGTGTCCAGAGACCATTTTTTATGCTGTTGGTGGTGGGTTTCTTTGTTTTTTTCCACTGTTCGTTGGAGTTTCCGATGAAACACGACTGTTGTTGTTTTTAAGGTGACGACCTGACAGTCGTCTGAGGGTGGGTTTGCCAGCTAGCTCCAAATGTTCTCCCCAGTTTCTGTTGTTCTGATTCACCCTGCCTTTACCTGTGAATCCACTCTGACACCAATAGTCACGTTTGAAAAGTCAGGCTGCAGAGACGAGCTGTGGTTTCCTGCAGATCTGAGGAGTGAGTGCTGTACATACAGAGTGAGTGAGTGACCCAGTGTCAGCCTGTCTGGACGGTTCTGTGATTATTGTTTTTAAATTCAGTGAGGGTTTTTTTCCTACATTTTGTTTTTAATTTGCTTCCCTCAGGTGTTTCAGTAAGAAAAAAAAAATCGGATTTTAAGTCTAATTATTATCGCTGACAATGATTATTCTTATTTCTTATCCTAACTCTTTGATTTAACTTTAATTGTTGAGTATTTTCAAATACTGATAAATTAACTGTGCAACTTTGTACATTTAAAACAACCGCTGTTCTGTGTTTTTTTCTACTTGTGATGTTTATGTGATGTTTATGTTAGCCTAGCCACAGATCTGAATCTACAATACGCTGCTTTACAGACGGCTCTTCTGTTGGAAGAAGAAGAAGAAGAAGAACGACCTACGAAGAAGAAAGGCTAACAAGAAAGAAGAAAAACAAATGATGAAGGAATTAACGAAGAAGAACTAAAGAAAGACGACTTCGAGCTCGATCTTGACACATTTTTATATTCGACACCAAGCGCAAGAAAAAACAACACCAGTTGCGACCCCACAATATTACTGTTATTTATTAAAGGATAAGCTGCAGTGCCCCTGCAGGCCACAGTAAGTTTCTTGGGCTAAGAATCTGCTGTGACGGTAAAACTACATATTTAAAATAGGATCATGAAGTATTTCATCACAGATTTAAAATAAGAAAAGGAATATAAAAGTATTATGGGAAATAAAAACCATCCTCAAAGATTTAATATCGTCCTCCTGAAACTCATCCGTTTTCGCTCATCATCTAAATCCAGATTTGACTCTAACAGTTTAAAATGGGCCACAAAAGGTTCATTATTAACATTAAAAAGTAAATTAGAAATGATAATTAAATGTCACAGATCTCATGACATTAATCTTCCTGGAGCCAAGTTTCTGTACTGCGAATGACTTGACATCGGTTTCCGTAGTGTAGTGGTTATCACGTTCGCCTAACACGCGAAAGGTCCCCGGTTCGAGACCGGGCGGAAACATATGTTTTAGTGGATTCGTAGTGTAGCCGCTTTGGTCTCCATACGTTTACCGGTTATCACGACAGTTTGCACATATGCCTCACACGCACAATGTCCTGAGTTCGAAACCCAGAGAAACCACATACCTGGGCAGTCTGTTAACACAAACGCTTCCCCACTGTGGGATCAGGAAAGTCCTGTTTTTTCATATTGAGTTGAAGTGGAGAAACTCAAGGTTAGGAGTGAATTCTAATTGTTGGAGCTCAGCTCTCAACACAGACGGTGCTCAGCAGAGATTTACAGCTGAGAGATTCACACGGTGTCAGACTTCAGAAAGACTGAGTGAGTTATTGGTGTGTTTCCTTCTTTTCACTGAAGTTTATTATCCATCCCAGGATGAATGCTGCTGCTCTCTGGCCAGTCTGGTGCATTACCTTGAAATTTATATCCATCTTCATTGCTGTGAAGGTTTACAAATAATAAGCAGTTTGTTTGTTTTCTCTTTATATTCTTTTCTAATGCGGAATTAATAATTTGTCAACAAAATCACAAACGTTAGTTAAACAACACAAAACAATCGGCTTTTTTGTCGCTGCAGTCAGTGCGTGATGGTCATTGTGGTCGGTGCGGTTGCTGCTCTGTTGCTGGTGCTCTTAGGCGCCCCCTATCGACCGATATCATATGCATGAATAAACAGAAATGTTTGTTTAATTCTTCTAAAGCAATAACAAGAACTGATGACCTCAACTCTAAATAACAATTGTTGAACTTCCTCTATTCTTTCCTACTGCAGTTATTCTCTTTTCTCACTGTAACTGGAACAAATTCATCAGTTCGTTTTCATCTAAGTTAGCTGCCCCATTTTCCGTAATACACGGGGAAATATTGTCTCATCCAAGTACTTGTGGCATTTGTCAAAAAGTGCTTTGTGAAAAAGAAAAAAAACATACAACAAAAGCATCCATTCCTTCTCATTATTCTTATATTTGTGGAGGTGGATTTACTACAGGGACAACAAAAAGAACTCTACGACAGACTGAAGACTGAAGGCATCTGGCGACAAGTCTCCTGGATAAAAATTAGATAAAAAATTAGAAAAAAAAATTAGATTGGATAAAAACTACAGGGACAACAAAAAGAACTCTACGGCAGACTGAAGACTGAAGGCATCTGACGACAAGTCTCCTGGATAAAAATACAAACAATAAAATAAAGATACTCCCTACTTTAACTGAATAAACCGCACTGTGCAATTTATCGATGTACCGTGTGGAATGTAGACGCCACTGGACTAAACGTCAAGATACCGGCACAACATATAAATTATTTAATTCAAAACCAGGCAAAACACACTAGTTCTATATCATAAAAAATTCAAAGAAATTTTATTTAAATATTTATCTCATAAATTATTACTATCATTTTAAATAATACATGCCCTACGGGGCTCACAATTCACTCGATCCTGCCCTGACTGACAGTGGTTCATATATGATATGATCCACGTGGCGTTCAAATTTACCAGAGTAGGGTCTAGGTTCGGTCTGAGTCAAACCACCAGGAGGCGGTAGAGGCAAATTTGTATCTCCTGAGGTAATGCTCACCTGGCGTTAATGGCATTTCCTTTTCCGGTGGATGTTAATGGGGCTCGTAAGTGGGATGTTCTCCATCTTAAAGGTAGGTTTCATAAAAAAAATCACATATTTACGAAGCGTTTTGTCAGCAACAACCCCCCCCCCCAAAAAAAAAGCAGTTAAATTAATTAAAAGCTTTATTTCTTTGGTGTAAACCCCCCCAAAAAAGCGGTTAAATTAATTAAAAGCTTTATTCCTTTGGTGTAGACAGTGTATGTTATTAGCTGTATCCACTTCGACTAGCACTTAGCCTTTAGCTCACAAGGAGGGCCAAGCGCCGCGAGACGGTTAAGAAGCTCCTGCCTTCTGTTACATGTTATTATGTATTTGTGTAAATAATTTAAATTTTGTTATTGGTAATTTTTTTAAAAACCTGCACTGATTGATCTTTATTGTAAAAAACAAAACAAAAACCCAGAAGTGACTCTCGCCATTTTGTTGTCCGGGGCGAGGTTTGGCGCCTTTTCCCGAATTACGTATTCGGGAAATGGAGCATAAATTAAGTTATTTAAGCATAAGTTATTTGTTTAAATTTGTAACTGAATTAAAAGTATTGGATACAGAGACGTACATGAACAATCGGCATTTTAATTTGTGTTTAATCAACAATTGGACCCATATGTTTTCCCTGTTAAACCACTGTTCTAATGGTTTGTGTAGTGTTTGCGCCTCTGCGGTGAGGTTGTGTATCCATAATTTGTCGAGGGCTCCCAAATGGTTAGACCCTGCTGTGGTTGAATGTGTGGATTTAATGAATGTTTGATGAGAGAAGCAAATGTTATTCAACGAGATTGAAAATGCTCAACAAACAATTTGCAACCAAAATCCGCTCAGAATTGCAAACAGTGCCTCTCAAGTTTTAGCGTTGTAATGACCGTTGTTATACCTCAAGTTCTTACACACAGGTGTGCTTCTGTTGATTCCGCCGTCAACGTTCTTTGCAGTAATGTTTGTTTATCATTTGTGTTGATGAAAACTGTCTTTTACACATTTGCATTCGTGATTTTAAATGCTTGTCAGTTATAAGTGTTTGAGTACCGGGGGGTAGAAATGCCTGGAAAGCTGTTTACAGAAGCTATCAACAACCCAGCTGCCAATTAAAATGCAAACAGACGGGATTCCATACAATTCACTTATGTTTTATTTAAACACTGGATTTAATGACATGTTAGTGTACATTTGTGAGCAAAGGTATGATAAAATATGTTAACGTGACAGAGAGAGGCTGAATTATAAAGCAGGGAAAAATGATGGATAGAATGACATAAGTCTCAGCTACTTATGCATGTTCATTATGAGGCCAATTATACAAAACATCAGAGGCCTGCACACACTGTGAATGTTCCCAAGAAAACATCAAACTGAAACTGTTTTTTTTTTTTAGGAGCAACAAAACAGGTGTCACTTCATTGAAGTCTTCACAATCCTCACTGTTGCTGTGTGGCTGCAAACCTCCAAAGATGTGTGTTGGTGAGTACAAGGGCCACTGGTTAGTGTACAGAACTAGAGACCGTGTTTAAGTAAACTGTACTTGCAGTAATTGACTTAGTCATTTAATTAATTTATTTAAACACAATTTATTTTTATTTAAGCCTTTATTGTACTATATTTGAATGGCTTGGTGCGTACTTGTAGTAATTGACTTAGTCATTTAATTAATTTATTTATTTAAACACATTTTTTTTTAGTTAACACTTTATTGTACTACATGAAGTCGAATGGCTTGGTGTCACATGCCAAATAACATGGGATATGTTGCTGCTGTATATACTGCACGTGTAGAACAGACCTCAGCTGTAGGTTGCCCCTGGTATAGATTACAGTTCTCTGCTCGGTGTTACCCGTTGACTGGCACCTGTTTTGATTTGTTGCACTTAGTTGAATATTCGCAGAGGGAACATCAATGCTGTAAAAAAAGTCGTAATGAATGGATCTCGTCCTGTTACCAAACACACATGATAGGTTTTTAATGTTAGCACAATCATCTGGTCATTATCATAACAGCCTGTGTGTAATGGGGAGTAATTTGGCTCCGGATCTGAGGTTGGGTTTTATTTATTATTTTATGTCTGTTAACAGGTGCAGGTTTTCCCTGATTGTCTGAGTAAATGATAAAAATTACTTTTTACTTTGCTTCGTCTGGCTCTGAATATTTAAGGTGAGATAAATCTGAGTATAGCATATCGCACTATATTGTATAGTCTTTCTTGTGTCGCCAGATTTTTGACAATACACACCTCTGACCAGAACCCTTTCATCACTCACTTAAACATTTTCTGACAAAGAGGAAAGAATGTTTACATCGTTTCCATGACGATCTGACTCCACTCACATCATCCTAATTGCACAAAGCAATTTCCATAAATAATAGTCTGTCTTTATTACAGCACCACAGAGGCCCCATATGTCACACAGAAGTAATCCAATGAGCACAGTGACTGTGAGTAATGACACCGACTGCACTGTAGCAGCATACGCTGGAACGGTACAGAACAAAGCAACTGAAGTGCAGCTCTGCTGCTGATACTGCAGCTATTGTTTTCACACAACACCAAAAAACTTCAATCCAGGCCTACATCAGAACCTCATTTCACAATGACACCAGACTCTGTGGGGAAGTAAGTGTCAGCCAGGCTACTTTACTCTAAGTTATTTTATTCTACACTGGAGGACCGGAAATATTGCTAGATGATTTTAAACAACCCTTTATACAAACTTTTTGTAGAACCATCAGCAGAAAACATATTTCCTAAAAACATTTAAACAATGGTACTTTTGTTTTTGTAACTGTTTTTACCAGTGAAAACACTTCCACCCAGGCTTGGTCTTCAGCTTCTTTGCATGTACGAACAGTTACAAGTTACCAATCCTGTAGTCAGACCATCTTTGTATCTCTGTGTCTGACTCCCTGTGTCACTCAGGACATAATCGCATTTGGTCTCTTTATATTAGTTATTCATTTTATCCGTATATTAAAACTTTCCTTCAAACTTTTTACATGTAACAACAACTGACCTATTCTGTGTTTTCAGCTAAAAGCATGTATTGGCAACAATATTCGTAATTGCTGCTCCTAATAGTTGTAATTAGTATTTGTTACTCTGGTTACACTGATGCACTTTCTCCAGCCCAGTAGGTGGCATTAATGTATCTAAAGTTAATCTGCCAACCTCTGAGCAGGTGATATGAATGTTGATTGATGTCGATGCACAGGAAAGCTAAGCTAAACATACTGCTGTGAGCACAGACACCAGAGCTAACGTTAGCTACAACAGTTCTTGTACAGAGTTGGTGGAAAACTTTACTCATTGTGTCAAATTTGTTTTATTTGATACAAAATGGATTATTATCAAATATTTAATTACCCACAATTAATAGATGTGTCAAAGCGGCAATGTGGGTTTTTTTTTTTTTTTTACGAGGCTGTGGGCGTCTCTCGTGTTCTGTCACTTAATGAGAAAACAACATTAGCCGCTTAATGAGGCTAAAATACTTGATGTGGTGTTTTAATTTTGATGAGATCCCACTTTGGGCTTTCAGAGACACTTAGCTAGGTAGTTTGATGAACAAATCAAATTCTGTCCCAGTCCCACTGATGGTGAAAGCCACTTAGCTGTTAAATCATTCAAGTGATTTTTTCATCTCGCAACAGGTGTGAGAAATTAGATCTCCAAGGGAAGAGTGACTGAAAAGGAATGTCATCTATGTAACGTGCAGTATTTGTAATATTCAGGCTGGTTGAATATAAGAATGAAAAACAAGGAAACAGCGTTTTTAATTTCATATGATATTATTTACTCGACACAGTAATTTTGTATTTTATACTGTATATACATACATACATATATATATATATAGAGAGAGAGAGTGAGGATGCACTTAAAATGAATCCTGTTAATTAAATACTTAATGATCTCAATGATTTTTTATTTTATTTGATACAGTAAGCCTGTCGACTAAAGTCTCAGTCCTGAACCAACTCACAGTTTGTTCTGAGGCTCACAGTGCTGGGTAATAATAGCATACCTCCACTACCTTCTGTGCACAACCGTCTGGGGATTAAATGAGCCCAGACTGGTCCAAGTGGATGCCAACCAGTTGCACCCAGTCCTACTGGTTTTTCATTCCTTGGCATGACTCGGTGGCCTTGTGTTGGCAGAGAAATGAGTCCTGGACCGAGTTCAAAAAAAGGTCCTGCATAACCTGCATATTAACAGAGCCGTCTACACCCACACACACCCACACACATAATCAATCACACACAGTCATATGCACTCTGTCCATTTATCAATATTGTACACATCATTAGCCCTGTAGTTAAGACTGTAATTGTTTGAATATGAGGAAAATCTAGACAGACAGAAGATGACGCCACAGTCTGCTCCATAACTTGATATTTTCTATAGTCACATTATCTGTAATTAGCAAATCAGAGTGTTGCAAATTTTATGAGCCCAGAGAAAGTCTTCTGTCAGTCAAACTGTTTTTAAGTTGTATTCATTTTTGTCAAACTCCTATGGAGTTAGCTCAATACGCTTTAAAAAATGTTAAAACAATTATTGATTCCTGGTGTTGGTTCATTTTCTTTATCTTGTCTTTCTTCTCTAGTGATTCCAAATGTAGATCCATCTGTTCTATACACAACACATTTCAGTGATAAAAATCGGACGACTTCAGGGATGTTACCGTCAGTCTTAGAATTATTTGACTTGCACTGGTATTTCCACACACCGTGATTGATCAGCCGTGGAGAAGAGTGTTCAGGGTGGTACACTTATGAGCCCTGTTCCTGCTGCAAGTATGGTTGAAATACTTTTTCTCACAGCATGTGAGGAAAAAGATCAATACTGCATGTTGCTCATGTTATGCCCTCCATCACTTTGAGTGGAGTCATCTTGATGTAGCAGCAGTGTCAGCGACTGCTTCACAACACATTGATGCTGGTGAAATCCTAACTGTGATCCAGTACTTGAAAGCTGCTGCGGCGGTCTCCCAGAAGGCCAGAGTGGTGCTGGTGTCAGAGCATGGAGGTATCTCTGAGGACGGGAGTCTGGAAGGAGGAAAAGCTTTGTTAGTCTGAGAAGACACAGTGTCAGAGTAGAGGCAGGGGTTCACAGCTAATCACACGCTCCACTGTTTGACAAACACTAAACCTTTTTGTTTTTATCATATCTCTATTTTCTGACAACAAACATAAAAAATAAGAAATTCAAACCATTTAACACTGTTTTGTAACACTTTGTGTTAAATAAAATTACTAACTACTTTAGAGTGGGAGCCAGAAACACAAACCAGTGTTTACTGTTGTTAGATAAGAAAATATGAATTTGTTTGTATGAAAAATAACAACATGGACAGACTTTGAATGATGGAACCATCTGGTTCTTTCAAAGGAAGGCCAGCTTTGGGCAGTGAAAGGAATGAATCAACGATGGGAGGATTGCTGGTTCAAATCCCGTTCTTGGTCATCTCCTTTAAGAATTTATTAGAGGTGTAAGAAAATATCAATGCACTGAAATATTGCAATATTTCCTTAAAAAACCCTGTATCGTGATACTATTCTTGCCAATACACACCCCTAGTTGTTATTAAATGTAATATGAACTTAATTAATTTAACTTAATTTTCTTCTCCTGTTTTACACATTGGTGATAAACGTGACTGAGTCAGACCTCGTCAGCACTATTTAATTATGTCTTCCTTGGTGACAGTGAGGCCTGAGGGGTTTGTTGATGTTTTCCATTTCCTGGCGTGCCTTTTAATTATGTTATAAAATTCCAGTTGCAAACAAAATTAAATAAAAATACTAGAAATATTAGGCCTGCTTCTTTCACCAGATTCTTTAGTAGACCTTAAAAACTCTGCTGCACCATCTGTAGTCATGTGATCTCTGACTGGGTCTCTTCCTCTCTGAGGTGTAATTAAAGTGCTCTGATTAAACCATCAGGTTCAGTCAACGTGAATTCCGGTCTATTTTTAGTCTTAAAATTAAATCAGTGTGAAGTACACCATCAACTGCTCCTTGGCGGTGATACCGTTTATTATGTAGCATGTTTCTATTTCAGCTGACTCAGGCCTTTAGGCAGAAATGCTCCTGACCTGTTTAGTCAACAAGTTCTAAGAAAGACTGAACATTTGTACAGGTGAGTGCTCAGCTGTGTTACCTTTGATCTTATCAGGTTTTTCCCCATAACAAATCTCAATAAAGTGCCTTATTTAAATTGAATTATCACATAAATAATTTGAATATAATTATTTTATAACATGCACTTGCAAACATAAGTGATCATTTTTCGAAATAAAATATCACAGAAACTATCGTCTCATGTGCCTGGACCAAATGACCCGTGGCTTGGTACTGGTCCCTGACCCAGTAGTTGAGGATCAAATCATCTTTTTCCTTCACTTGACATATTTCTTTTCTTTTCTCTACCACTTCTGCAGTGTATATATATATATTCTTATACTACGGCATTATTATAGGAGTCGTTTGCTCAGTACTTCATATACATAAATGTACACACACATACACTGTAAACACACACACACACAAGCACAAAATGGTGGATGGCTCCATTCTGTTCACTGCCTTCCTCTGTTCTCTTCCTCCTTCACTTCCCTGCAATTTCACATATATTTGTCATGGCTGACGGGTTTTAAAAAAGGGGTTTAAACCATTGTCAGCCCTGACCTTTGTAAATGAGCACCGACACACATTCCAGTGCGTATCTACTGTACATGTGCGTAGTTCATGAGCGTGTTCAATCTCCATGAATAAAAGAACACGCTGAACACAAGGGTTATTACCTTTTATTTCTAAAGAAAGCACTTTTACAATATCTGTTATCAAAAGGTCACGGCACAGAACTTAATGTATGCTGCTTTATGTTCACCACCACCACAGAACACCACTCTGGTCCCTGTAGTACATATCCCATTGTGAGAATGCAGCGATTCAAACAACAAGAAATTAAAATCTTACCTTGTTGTTCTCTCTTCACAGTAAACAACGCACGTCACAGAATAAACAACAACAGCACAGTAACCCAGATGTGATAATTAAACTGAGGATTATCTTCAGGGATTATAGAAACAAAGACACTACTGTTATTTCTATTTATTCATTCTCTTTGAGATTGAACGAGATCTCGTAAATGTAGTCTTTACTTCACATATCTTTTATGGAGTTTTTACTGTGACACAAGACAAGAAAGCAACAATGACCAGGTGTTTCCCGTTTGTCAAGAGCTGCTCAGATTGACATGTGTGATGTTAACCGAGCTTGGATCAAATAACTTTAAAGAAAGGTGTGGAGTCACCAGACTGACAGGTTCAAGTGATCCGAGTGAATTCTTTCATGTAAACATATTTTCCCCCACAGTCAGTAAAAAAAAATCTCCATTCTGTTTAATTTAATTTCAGACTTGACTGACTTTGGCCGACGTTGTGTGCACTGGCTTAAAGCCTCCCCTGATGTCAGAACAAGTAAGTAGCTTTACAAACAGTAGAGAAGCCCACTAGAATCTAAAAATGTCATCACCCTGACGTCTTGACTGCCGGGGGGTTTAAAACCTTTTCTATGGTGGAGAACTGGAACAGGGACCCCTATAAACTCACCTGGTAATGTAGGTTCACGTTTTAAAATCCATGTACAACAGATAAATAGAAAATAAAAATAAGGGAAAATAATAAATAAAAAGATAAACATGTCACTACCCCCCTGCAGTACCTTCACCTGCCCCTAGTTAAAAACCTCTGCTCTAGAGAATGATTTTTTTTCATTGCTTTTCATGCAAACACCTGTACAATGTCTCTAAATAACAGGTGAAGTTTGTGTTGAAAATACTATTTATAATAATAATAATATTAATTTTAATTTGTCTTTCTGCGCTATACCACAGTGAATCCTACCCACTGAACTCAAAGTCGTCCTGGGACTGGATCCCAAAATGGACATCAAATAATAAGGTAAGACAAAAAATGTGTTTTATATTTTATTTTATTTTGTTTGAGTATCCGTTCCTGAGGTCCACTCACATTCTAGATGGTCTAGAAATTAGTGAGCAGGCTCTTCCTATGATATCTAGAACACTAGTCATTTACTGCACTGTAAATGACTAGTGTTCATCACCCCCCCCCCCCCCCTACCTCCCTCTTTAAAGTGTTGCCTGTTAGCCACTGCATAACTTCTTAATTCTAATAAGAAATGTACCATCATTAAACCACACTGTGATTTGCTAGTACCACATTTAATTAATAGAATTATTCATTCAGCATTTTCTCTACTGAGGGTTTCCCAGGTTTCAGGTCGGGTAAAAAGGTGCAAAATATAAAATTGTCTTATCAAAGATTTGACAGCATCTCATCGTCACAGACCTGACTCTGTTGTGATGATATGCATTAAAAATGTTTAATCACAGACATGTAAAGTAAATATGGATTTACTGTTGTAGAAATACACAGTTTAATTTCAGAGTTCAACCCCCACCCCCCCCCACTCTGTGGCCGGACCTTTGTTTACTGAAGTAGATCAAGGGTTTCGTACAGGTCCGGTGAAATAAGCTGACATGAAACATTTGATCTACAGTGACAGTGTAAATGATGATTCAGTGATGAAGTTAGTGAAGTGCGAGCATCTGTAGAAGTCCTTCACATGTTACCGTGTGTGTGTGTCCAATAACATCAAAGCGTTTCCCTCTCCCAGCGATGCTGCCACTGTGAATTAATTTGGTTAAGACTCTCATCTGCCGAAAGTCACTGATGTGCAGCGTGAACACAAGGTGCAGCGCCGAGAACGGTGTCAAGAAGAACAGTCAGGCGAAGGATTTATTGATCAAGGTGGTTTTGCCCATCACTGAAACTCTGTGAACGTCTAAAAGGATTTTGAATCTGACAACTGTAGGTCATACGGTTCTCATATAACCAATAGAATTGTTTAAAATGAATCTCCTTGGTCTCTATTGGTCTGAGAAAATTATTGTAATGGGGCCCTCCCTTTTCCATTACTTTTTCTTGAATCTATTTTTATTGCTGGAACAAAGCACCAATAGGGGGCAGTACTGTACCTTTTGAGATACATAATTTTAAGTGTGGATATTTGATACAGTCTTACATTTGGTGGTTGTTTGAATTTACTACAGAACTCCACTGGTCATTTTCAGTTGTGGTCACCAGGGTGACTGAAGCCAACAGGACAGAATTTGTATCTACACTCTCACCAGTTTATGTACTTTGTTACGTTATTTCCTGAGATTTTAGCTCAAAGGACACAACATGACGCAAAACCCTCTGTCAGTTAGATCACAACTAAACTTTTATTGTCCGAGTTCTACAGACCACAGATATAAACAGGGGAGAGTGATAAGAGCGGCCGGGCCTTTATCACCTCGTGGCCATGTGGCATATTGTAATAGGACTGGCTGTGGTGCGGTAGTCAAACAAGCAGCTAATTAAAATGAACTATCAACCAAATCAGTGGCAGGATGTTGTTGTCTGTAATAAGGTGTCAGTGGCCGTAACCACTGCTAAGAACAAATGAAACACGAGGACAAACACACACAGTGCACACACAGAGATTAGTGCAGGCAATATTACCAAAATAAATCAGCAAGGGTTTAATAACAGTCTCCAGTCATTTGTGTACAGCATACGTGTGAGCGGCTAAGTAAAGACGGCTACAGTCGGACATGTTTACCAAGTAAATACTCAACATGTTGAAAAGTAGCTGCACATAAATCCACCAAATCAGTCAGATTGAAGTACAGATTGTGTTTTGGAAATGAAGCTCTAAATAAGTACTAAAATGTATTTGTATTTATCTCTTTCTACCCACTAAATGTTGATTCAATCCAGGGGGGTTGGAGGGGGCGAATCCATATGAAAGACTACAGATGTGGTCGTCTGATTTGTTTAGCGGTGTTTAGCATAACCTAAAAAAAACATTTGTTTTGTGTTGTTCTAAAAGAGTGAGGCATCGATCATCAATCACCAGTGTTTTCAAAGTAAATGTTAAGCAGCAATTTAAAACAAATACAAAAAATTTACATGTACTGAGTACATAGGGAAAGCGTCAAATGTATGTTGGTTCAACTTCCCTCTTTCTAGAGGTGATTAGCAGTTCAATAAGCTAGCAGACAAAAGCAAACAATCACACTGGTCACAAACAAACGAACTACCTCCCACTGCCTGGACACTTTATAGACCCTGACTTAGCCTCCGCCAATAAAAATAATTTATCTGAACACATTAGTGCAGCAAAGATAAGGGTTGCAGGTTGCGATAATACAGAATAATTTAAGTGTTGCTCAGTTTTAAACAGCTTTATTTCTGACTACTGCTCCTTTATCCGGAGGTCAAGTGTGTATTCTAGTTGCCAGCATTGAGCATGTAGCTTCTCCTCGGCCTGCAGGTGGTGCTAGGTATTGATCCGTGCATTATTTTATGTCCATGTACATAAACTTTTTTTTTTTCCCCTACATTTTTTCCTCAAGAACAAGTGAAAACATTTGTGTTGGTTGAAATGAAATGAACAACACTGAAGACGTGTAGTGTTTACTGCTACGTTAGCATACGAGAAACTAAAGAAAGAGAAACAAGCTAGCGTGTCAAAAATTAATCCGTTTTTTTTTAAGTAACTGACATTTATCAAATAACAAAGTGACATTTAGTGCTCGATAAATAGTAACTCTAAAGCAGTTAAAGTGGAGTGGAGTCGATGCTTCAGCCACTTCAGCTTTTTGATTTTTATTTTAGCTCTGTGTTCGTGTCATAAATGCACTGGGTGAGTCAGGTACACACCTCTGAACACTGGGTGTGTTCTTTTATTTTCATGACTGATAACATACAGTATATTATATATATGTGTGTATGTGTATGTATGTATATATAGGTAGAGAGAGGAATGGACAGAGAACAAAGACAGAAAGAGAATGTAAAAAGAGACAGACATAAAGTGGTGATGTGAGAATGAGAGAGGGGGGAAAGAGAGAGAAAGACCATAAGAGGGAGCAAAGAAGAAAGACTGAGACAAAGGTAGAGGAACAGAAATTGACAGAGAGGTAAGGAGAGAAAAACCGCTAGAGGGAGAGAAAGGGGAGGAATAAGGAGGTCAGGAAAGGGAGAAAGAATGCAAGTGGGTGGAACATAGCAGAAAAACAGGAACCAGGCAATAACATAAGCCAAAGTACACCTGTACTGTGTACCTGTACACCTGTGTAACTGTATGAATACACTCCTTTTATCGGACGCACCAGAGACTGTGTAGAAGAAGATGAGGGATCTGATGGAAGGATCCTTGAACTTCCCCAACATTCAACACTTGTTCTTTTTAAATGTCAACTCTGACTTTGCTTGACAAGGATTATATAGAGCTTAAAATTTCAGAACTGTGCTGTACTCGGTTTATTTGAATTTTGATTTCCAATCCAATCGCCTCCGCGGTCGGCCCAGAAGAAGTCGTATGTGATGAATGTGTGGTCTCTGGACATCATCGTCCTCCTGTTGTTCTGCTACGGTGAGTAAAGACTAATATCAATCCTTTAGATTACGTATCGTATCTGTTTTATCTTTAATAACGTTGATTTCTTGCTAAAAAGTAATAGCAACATTTTTCATTAAAATGGTAGTGATTTATGTAAACTGATATTTTAATACAATAAATGTAATGCGAAAATGCTCTTTTTCTTTTTTTTTAATTGAGTAATAATTCTTTGTTCACATCCACATTTAATAATTGCAGATTTTAAGTCATTAAAACGCTGATGTACCCCGGGACTAAAAAAAAAAAAAAAAATCTTTCTTATATTGACTTTACGTGACACACGGGTTACAGAGAATAAACTTTCGTAATTGTGAGAAATCAAAGTCCAATTCTCTGCTGCTGCCTGTAATCGTGACTCATTCCGTTTCTGTACAAATACGTAGTATCACAGGAAGTGAAAATGATTGCTGGTGTTTGTAGAGTTTGATGATTGTTGTTGTGTTTGAAGGTTTGTGCTGAAAAGTAGATTAAAAATAAAATGTATTTGACCTGAGGTTGTACTCGGTACACGGCTGTAGTTACAGTAAAAACAACAGCATCGCGGTACAATGACAACAAAATAACAATCTTCTTCTTTTCTTCAGCTCGTCTGTCAACTGCCACTGCAAATGGAACCGTGACTTTTTTTTCTAAAAACTTTACCAACGTGCTGCACTGGGATGCTGCAGAGCCCAAGTACCCGGAGGAAAAACTGCTCTATAGTGTGCAGTACTACAGGTAATTGAACATATGTTTGTTAATTACCATGTTATTACTGCATCATGGCTGCGGTTGTTAGTCAATTAACGACTGGGAACTAAGTGGGAGGAAAATTCGATTGTCGTGGGAAGTTCACCGATGTGATAAATTTAGAGAGGTGAGGTTGAGACACGAGGAGAGGAGGAGACCACCAGAGTAGAGTTTTGGATGTAGTGAAGGAGGAGGTGGAGATGGTTGGTGTCACAGTAGAGGAGATGTTCTGGATGAATCCATCCTCTGTGAGTGTAAAGTGTGAAGTACTTACTTTTGGAATGCTGTAAAGTGGTATATAAAATATGATTGATTGATTAATCCATTAAGGGTAATTGGTCTCTGTATTTATATAGTCTTTACTGATGTTTAAACTTGTCCTTCGAACTATGAGGCAAACTCCTGGTTGTTGTGGATAAAATACAGTTCTGGAGTTGGTGACACTTTGGGGGAGACATTTATATCAGGAACATAACTGTACCAGGTGGACAATAAAAAGCTGAACTGATACAGACAGTGGTGCTGTGGCGGTCCCTCCATCAATCTCCATCTGTGTGGCCCAGGTCTACTTTGTCAGCAGCTCCGCTCTCTGCCTGGTGGTTGTCATCTGCTGTTATTTCTCGTGTCCCGTTCTCTTTTGTTTTTTTTTGGCTGTTCAGAAAATGAAGTTTTTTGTTTTTTTGTGTGTCTGTCTTGAGAGGAAAAATATAAGACAGTACTTCTGCCTGTTATTAAAACGTTCCTAGTAAAACAAGTTCTAACAAACCACCATTTCATGAGCACATGTAAGACATTCTGCTGTTGTTAATAAGGTTTATGACACAGTCTGATTGCACTTTTCTACAGTCATGGCAGAGATACCGACGGACACTTACAAATAAAGAAGGAATGTCAGAACATCACGGCGCTGTCATGTGACCTGACTGCAGAAACGCCGTCGCTTCCGCACGTTACCTATCACGCCGTGGTATCCGTTAATGGTCGTGAGCTTGGACGGACCAGGACCAGGTTCAACCCTATGGCACACAGTGAGCTTTTCTATATTAACTAAGATCTTGTTCACTCACCTCAACACCCTATGGCACACAGTGAGCTTTTCTACTTTCTAACTAAGATCTTGTTCCCTCAACTCACCCCAGCTCTGACTGGGACGCAGCTCACATCGATTTCTCTCTCCTCATCCTCACAGCCATTCTTGGCCCCCCCACTTTGTCAAAACGCACAACGGGGTCAACTCTGATTGTTAACGTCACCCTCCCATTGGGGCCGAATGGAGTCTCTGTGGCAGATATCATCAAAGAGAGTAAAGACGGGCCCTTAAAGACTATTATTGTTTACACCCTGAAGATCACTGAACCAAAGTGGGCAACACTGGTAAGGCTCCAGGTTTATACCCCAAAATTCCAAGCAACAATAATCTTAATGGTTAATTTATGTAATTTATCATTTAATTAGACTTGAAATCTGTTTTTTCTTGTTTGTTTGTTTTTTATTTATTTCATAGTCTGCCTATGATTTGCATCTTGAGGAAGTAAAGATATTTTTATTTTTCTGACATATATTTTCATCTTACGTCTCCAGGTACATGAAACTCACACTGCGCATTTTGTCATCAACTTGAAAAAACAAACTAAGTACTGCGGTCATGTGATATACGCACCGTCCTCTGAATGGGGTCGCCCAGAGAGCGAGAGTGCCCCCTTCTGTGTCATTTTACCAGGTAAGATGTGATAACCAGTGATGAAGTTTTAACACGGGTACGTATGCAGTTTTGTTCAACAACACGTCGTCTCTACTTGGTGATTTTCCCCTGGATATAAGAAATACAGGCTGTTAGACACTGATCACGTAGTGTGTTTTGTTGCTGGTGCGCTACTACATGTATTATATAAGAGTATTCTGTTCCTACTGGACGGCTGTAAAATACAGTATCATGACATGGTTATTGTTTTTAGTCACTCCAGGTGGACGAACAGTAGTAGATTCTGTATCAAGTTTTTGTTTGACGTTTACCTTCTCCTCACCTCACGAATAAATTACTTTCATTTTGACTTGTAGAAATATTTGTTAATAGTTGCTCAGATTAGTAATGATTCCTGTTAACCCAGGCACTTCCTTGAACAACTGATATTTACCAGAACGTCAACAGTGATAATTAATTCAAGTTTTACATCAGAGCGTCAGCATGTTTAGGCTTGTTTTAGATGATGTAATAGTAATTAATCTATTATTAATTAATCTTTTATCTTCTTCTCCTACAGATCATCCTCTGGGGATGTTACCGTGGCTCTCTTCAGTTGTTGCTTTTCTCGTGATTTCAATCACAGTAACTGTTGCGTTGACGTGCAATTATGTGAAAGGCGTGAAGAAAGTCCGCCTGCCAGATTCAATCGTAAGTCTTTCCTTCTTCATTGTCCTTCCTGCCTGGGTAACTATCAGGAAATGTTGCCCTACTGGAAATTCCAGCCCCGTGGCAGAGCAGTTACAGAGCAGATCATAATAACTGTGGCCATCCAGTCACTGCACATGCTGGAACATTACGGATGTGGTTAAAACGAATCAGAAAAGTTTTCCCGTGATTCATGGAAGTTTCACTGTGATGACGTGTGCTCTGTTTTGATGACTGTAAGACGTCTTGTTGCCCTTAGAACATTTTAGAAGCTTTAGAACAATCTTTAAAATGACAGTGAATGCATCAGTGAATCATATGATAATGAAGTATATTCCTGATATATATGTAGATTTGATAATAATCCGTAGGGCTGGTCACACTACTTACTAAGCACAAGTTCATATGAACCGACTTCTTTCCTTCTTGTGTTTTCTACAGATAAATTATCTTAAGATGTTATTTTATTTTTTATTTTTTTAAACTATCATGAAATGTTAAAACCGACCCATGTACTAAGATATGTTCCTGAATTTGGTTTCTTTAACAGGCGAGGATTTTTAAAGACCCTGGTCCAGTGCTGCAGGCAGACAGCAGTATCATCATTTCCAAGGTAATGGTCAGCCTTCCAAATGACCAAACACCTTATGCTGCTATCCAGTTCAAGCCAAAAGAGCCTGCGGTTAAATCCGGGGATTATTCACCCCAGGACATACCTTGGCAAGGCAGCAGGGAGTCCTTTGGAACCAATCTTTTCCATCCAACTCTAAACGGCCTAGATGTGAGCGGCCAGTCCTCTGACACGTACGGTGCAGTGGCGGCTCAGATGCCGGCTGAAGAAGCTGAAGACAGAGAAACCTGTACCGTGTCTCTGGTGACAGGACGAGACTCAAGGGGTGAAAATGGAAACAGTCCACAGTCGATGTCACCCAGGGACGCCCCGACACCTCACCTGGATGAGTCTGACGGCAACCCAGCCGCACCCCTGCTGCTGAGTACAGTGCGTGATGACAACGGACAGCTGGTGCTGCCTTCACTGGCGTCTCTGCTCCAGTGTAGCACAGGTGACGCACTTTCACCCCTACTGTCGGACATAGACGGCAAAAAGCCGGGACCGTCTTTGTCCACAGTGCAGAGTTTTGACCACTCCGAGTGGTCAGACTCTGGGTGTGATGACAGCAGTGTAACCACACCCACCCTGGAATTCTGCAATACACATTATGCCGCAGCTCAACCGACCGTATCGCACTATTCTCCTCAGCAAAGTCTGAACACAGAGTCTAACACGGGTTACAAGCAGAACTGGATGCCAGAAATCCTTCATGGAGGTGGAGATGATCACAGTTTTGAAAACTCTAAAATAAACAACCATTGGACCTGGACTGAACCTGGGAAGCAGGACCATGAGGAGAACACGGACAGAGGAGAAACGCAGTCAACACAAATTCCTCTGGAAAATTGGATGGTCCAAATTCATGACTCGTGAGTTCTGCACCACACGTCTATGGTGATAAAGAGACTTCGTGTGTGGTTTCTGATGAAGAGATAGGCAGAACCTGTTTTCTATTTGTCTAAGAATCATTGTCTTATGACGTGTTTGAAATGCAGTACTGTGTAAAAGTCATGGGTCCTTGTACACAGTATAGTCCTCACTACCTGCAGCCGTCTTTCATTGTGTATATAATGAACATTTTACATGTGATTAATCACAGTGTAGCTGTGGATTAATTACGATTGATCATGATTAATTGTGATCGTAATGACTCGGCTGCTATAATGTGCATCATTCTGCTCACAGGTTAAAATTCTCCAAAACAATTTTAATCTGATTTGTCTTCACAAATTATTTAATGTTATTTATTTTTAAAATCAGCAAATGTAAAGAACCAGAAGTTCATTAGATAGAAAAATAAAACGCTTCAAGACCTTTAGTATTTAGACCCTAGTCCATAGTTCTTAGACCGTAGTCCTGCTGTACAGGGGAATTCAGGTCACAGACAGATATATGACCTGAAGGACTTCCTGGTTCTTTACCTTTTGGTTTCAACTGCTGGAAAAAGAATGTACACACTTGCCCAAGACTTTTGCACAGTATTGAATGTAATGAATGAGTGTATAAATAAAATATATTTTTATAAAGTATGAAACAGAATTAATTTGATCACTATTGACATTTAAGGTGTTGCTGCCAAATATCTGTCGAACCAGTGTTTCTTAAACATTTTATACTGTGTTCCACCTCCACAAAAGTATGACTAACACACACACACACACACCTATGAAGTATATGAAAAACATAATTTATTGCTGATTACGTCGTCAGCCTATTTATTAGCCAAAGCTACATTGTTCCATGAAGCACTTCACCTGGTACTTGTACTCGATGGAATCACCATAACAACACATTCCTACAATCGAAGAAAAACTGTAAAAGAAAAAGAAAAGCTTCCTCTTGGCCTCAGGCACCATCAGTGGTACGTGCACCCTAGTTTGGGAACCACTGTATGAGATAACAGGTTAAAAAAATTGAACTGGTGGGTCAAAAAAAAACAAATAAACACACAACTGTCTCAACTAGTCAAATAAAACAAGCGTGTTTACCATCGCTATGACAACCTTTGTGACATTTGCAAATAGGACAAAAGAGACGAGCACACACCTTTGACACACAGGTCCAGTGTGGTCAGAACAACGGTGGCCACTGAGGAGAGTTCTGAACATGTAGTGGCTACAGACGTTTGAAACGTTTGACGTCAGATCTGAGTGAAGTAACGTAACGGACGGTTGTACCTTTGTGTATGTTGTACTGAATGTTCTGAATGCACTTTGAACTCATTTTTTTTCCCTCTGACAGCTTTCTGTTTGTTTTTCATGTTAAGCAAACCAAACTGCAAAGAAATATACACACTACCACAAAGGCTGTTCTTGTTCTGTTTCCTTTTCATGGAACCTCAACAAACACAGGGATCCTCCCATTCCACCGTTCACACCACGGGGGGAGAAAACGTTTTACTATTTGCATATAAGCCGTGGGTGGATCTCCGAGTTATTGTGTGTTACCCTCGATTAGTCAGGTGTCACCTGACGCCTTTCACGCTGAACCAAATCTGATCTGATAACAGGCAGACGATTTAAAAAAAACAACTTTGTAGCGATTGTCATAAGGAATTCTGTTAAAACATAATCTACACAGTACTGTTGGTTTAAAGACAAAAAAAAAAAAATTCCCGTGAGTAACTGATGTTTGGTGTTCACATCTTCTCTGAGTGTGTGTGAGTTCAGTGGGAGGATGAGGAATTAATGTTTAACACCATAAGTTGCTCACTGAAATGTTTTCAAATGAAAATTATTTTCAAGGACGCTACCGACTCGGAATTTGCGTGTGACCTCGCAGCAGCTCCTCAGCTCCTCACTTTCTGTTTGGTTTTATCAGTATTTTTTGGCGTCTTTTTTAGACCGAGACAAATTGGTCAACAACAAAGACTCGGGTTTTTTTTTTTTGCTTGTGGCCGCAAACTCCTCTGTCCTCTGTCTTAATGAAATACCAGGATGAAGAATTACTGTGTTGTTTGTTGGTTGGAGTTCGTACCAGGATGAAGAATTACTGTGTTGTTCGTAGGTGCGAGTCCATCCACCTTTGCCAAAACACTTAAACAGTTGACTGTGAATTATTGGAATTCTGCAAATGCATGAATACAGAAAGTTAGCATTTTACTGAATTGTAATATTTGGACATAGTATATCATATACCAGTCGGTGCTCTATGCACAATATGGAGGCTGTGCTGCCTTCAACAAGGTGGAAGAGTTGCCTGCTGTAAACCTTGGTTACTGACAATAAAGAAATGATGCCTTAATAAGTAATAACAGTTTACAGCACCAGAAAGAGGCAGTTGTTGAGGCTGTTATGACGAGATTTCAGATGTGATTTAAATTAGTTTTATTATAATTAGACGTTTTAATGTAAATATGACGATGTAAGAAGTTGGGATTTTTTTTTTAAATGTTCCAGTGGGGTTTCAAACCTGGTGCTGGTTAGAAAATAACTTAGTTTCTAATTGTCTGAAGTGATTTACTATATGTCTGTCTCTGGTTATTGTTTATGATAAGATATGAAGAGTTCCGTGGGTTTACTGAAATACACCGTACACACGGATGGTTGATTGATGGTTGACCTGACTTTACAGCCAGTTTTATGAGTACTAAAGATCAAAGTGATGGTTTCGGTACAAAGGTCTGTACAGTATCAGCACACGGACGACTGTCAGGAGCTGCTGACTTATGAGACCGTAGAATAAATAGTTTTGTGGACAATAAGGTTAGTGACCTGAAAATCAACCAAACAATAATCGGTCTATCAAAAAAAAAAAACCTTGGCTAATTTGGCCCAGTAAAAAAAAAGGGTGTAACGCCGACCGACACTTTAAACTGATTTGTTTATCAAGCTAAAGAGCCAATCAGGACGCTTTGCCTTATATGACCCAAATGAACCAGAACACGTGCCTTACTCCACACAGGCGGAGGAGCCATTCTGACATATGTGGGACATTGTCTGATGCCAATCTCTCTCTGCCTCCTGGAATTGAAAATCAACATGTGATGGTCATGTGACACCTCTGTGAGTTGACGTTGTTTATTGAGCCACCATCACTTGAAGATTAGCCCCAACTGAGCTAAATAAGCCAGCGTGCATCTGCAGATGATGGGTCTCGTATTGACGTCTTCAGTTCTTAGCCCAGGATACGGCATGTAAATGTCCAGGAGCGCCTGCTGTCTTTGTGTTGTTCCATTCAGTGGCTCCTGAAATAGCAGAAAGGTCAAATGTTGTTTCTATTCAGATGTAAATTTAGAATATCTTAATACATAATGTATTTGTCACAGCAGCTGCTTTGTCCTGTAGTTATTCTTAGTCGGACAGTCGCAGCCAGCGTAGGGTGAGAAGAAAGCCTGGCAGCCGCGACTTGTATTGTGGGCTGTGATGTTCCAGAGGCAGGTGTGGCCATTAAAATACCCCCCCCTCCCCATACAGTGTTGTGGCAGTGAGTGATACCTTCTTTACTAGCAGACCCTCTGGACGGTTAGTCTATGTCCGTCAACTCTAATGAACATAAACACACACGGACAAAATTGTGCAACCATGGCAACAGTTAATTATAGTAGACGACGGGCTGCGTAACTTATCACTGCCGAGCGAAAACAATAAAAATTCAAACCTCTTTCAAAGGCTGGGAAAAAACATTGTCATTAAAATGTATATTTTTTTTTCCACTTTGAAGTTAGATCTAAAGAGAACGGCAGGGTCACTGCTGTGTTACTGCTTAGGCCTTTGAATAAAGAGCAGTATTGACATGACAACAACCTGGTTAGAGTTCATGTTCTATTCAGACATTAGTCTCCTGTGAGACCGCAGTTCCACTGTTGACCACTGACTGGCTGTCATCACAAAGGCTCCGGTGTATGTTCATATATTAGGGCTAGGACTAATGCGTACTTTCCGATAAACTGACAATCCATATGTACACACCTCAGCCCAGTAGGGGGCAGTAATGCAGTTTAGTTTACCCTCCAGAGTCTAATTTTTTTTATTATTTTTTTTATTCTTGGTGACTTTTCCGAGCACAGACACCAGACCTAATGTTGACTCCAACAATCAGGGTGAGGTTGCGGTTTTATCAGTATAAATATTGAGACATAGTGTTCCATCTCCCGTCATCCTGTTTGTCTCTGTGTAACTTTTTTTTTTTGTCAGACCTTAATCTTGGAACGGACAGATATGACCTTTTTTGTTTTGGTTTATTTTTATTTTTTAAGCTGTAGACCAATCTGGATGATGGAGCAGACGTACACGGTTGTGGTTCTGTGTGTTAGTGCAGACCCAGTGTAGTGTGAAGACACTGTGTGTGTGTGTGTATGTGTGTGTGTGTGAGCAGATGTCACTGGTCTATATTTATCAACTTAAGAATGAGAGAGTGTGGTGTCGACATGCCTGGTGCTGAAGGACAGTGTGCGTCCAGGGTCACCTCAGCGGAGGCAGAGGGAGAGCGAGGGTCAGACAGTCAGACAGACAGTCACAGTGATGTACAGTACGGGCGAGAGAGGAGGCTGAACTGAGAGGAGAGAGAGGAGAGAAAGGGAAATATTTTGGTACTTCACATCCTGGGCACACTGTGGACTTCAGCTGTTTTTTTTTCTTTGTACAAAAAGTGAGTGAAATATCATTCTTTTTTTTTTAGTATTCAGTGTAGATGACATGATGTTATTGGCTTTTATTAATTCACTTTGACGTTAAATATAAAGTCGTCTTTATTAAAGTGACACCTCGGAGACTTTATGAAAACACAAACGTACTGGGAGAATACAGACACTTTAGACTAAGATTATTGTGTATGTCTTTAGTTACAAGTCAACATTTTAAATCTTTGAGTTTGATTTTTTTTTATATAGCGGTGAATACAATTAAAAAGTTGATAACCAATCAATAATCAATAAACTGACGTCCAGGTGAGTTAAAGATCAAAACTATTTTTATCTCTAATTCTCTGTATATTTCTCATCCGAGTACTACATTCTACCCACAAATTACTGCAAACCCATGGTACATTGACAACTGTTATATTCAACATCAGCTTTTTTTGGCTCTAATCCCTGTCACCTGGTCTATGTGGGTTGGACACGCTGCTGGTCTGGACCAGGACTGTTGTAGCTAACGTTAGCTTGTCCATTTTCTTGGGTTGCCTTACCGCTGCCTGGAGCTAAGCTAGAGTTTGTACATCAATAAAATGTGTGTGATCAGTGTCGTTTGTATCACAAAAAATAGAAGAGAACTCAGAGTTTTCTTTTTTTTTTCATATTTATTTTGCCTGTAATTTGAATAATTACCTTAATCATATAATTGTTGTCATTTTAACCACTTAAATCCAAGTGGCCAGAATAATAACTGCTGTAGAAATGTGTTGTGTGATGAGTGAGTGATTGCAGCAGGTGTGTTGTTCTGAATACAATGAACAGTGAAACAGATCTGGATGTGTCAACCGCTTCAGTCTGGTCTTTCTCTGTGAGAACCGATCGTCGCTCGAATCTAGAAATGAACAAAAACTTAAAAAGTCAACAGCGTTTATTTTTGTATGTCTTTATAGTTCTGTAAAATAACATTATATTTAATTGCAGTTTTAATTTTTTTTTTTTGCTGTCATTCACTAAAAAGTGAATAGACTGTACATTTTCCAAGTTCCATTTTTGATCTCATCGTTGTAATTATCTGTGATTTTGAATAATTTTACGTTGTTCTTCTCCCGTGGCCCAGAATCTGGCCGACCCACAGAGACCGATCAATGTTAATGTGCTGGAGGTCGACCTCTCTGTAACAATGCTCAGATGAATCACTTCCCCTGTTGTGCAGTGAGTCGCACATAAAGAGAGCAACAACAGTGAAATCAGCTGGTCCTTCAGAGGCCTTTTAGCCAAATCTCTGTGGCGTTCAGGCCGTAGCTGAAGGAGAGGAGGAAAAACAACACGTTGTTCTCGTTGATGCACCGATGCAGCTGGTTACAGTTGGATGAATGAAGTGATCAGTCAGCCATGACCCAGTACTGTTGGCTGGAGTCGCTCTGTCTTTACTTCCTCAGAGCTGACACATGATTAATGACGGTCAGGAAGTGGGCAGCGCCGTGGTCGGCCCCGGTAGTCGGAACATCAGCACCTCAGTGACCCACGAAATGATTGAATCTATTTGGGTCTGATGCACATTTGTTCTCAGCACAGATGAAGAACGGCAGAGTTTGGGTTAATAATTTACAGATGATTATGGCTGTAAAATTAATTAATTACACATTTAGTTAAATGAGGGAGCGTCCAGGTGACGTTTAAGGAAAAAAAAAAGATGATTTTCATCACTAATTATCTATTTATAGTCTATTTCTATCATATTAAATTCAACATTTTGAAGTCTTGCTGGGTGTAAACTTGTGGTTCTCAAACTAAGGTATGAGTCCCATTAGCCATACCAGACCATACCACAACACACCATACCATTGTTGCTAGCTAAAACCAAGGACAATAAGAACACGCATGCAGTAAAGACCAAGTAAATACATGGTGAAAAAATGACAAAAAGAAAAAACAAAACTCTTTGTTTTTGATACTTTGTTATTGATACTTCTGCCCAATCTGTCGAATACTTATAAAATATAACTCCAACGTCTCTTTTTGATGGCTCACATTTTTCACAGTGCTAAATGGTGTAGTTAGCAGAATGAATATTTCCTAAAGCTTCTGGCTCATTGATCTCTCTCTCTCTCTCTCTCTCTCTCTCTGTGTGTGTGTGTGTGTGTGTGTAAGGCTGCAGACCAGTTGTACAAATCTGCACCTCAGTGATACGCAGCACTCATTACTTAGCCACCTTAGCTGAGCACAGAAAAAAAAATGCAAATCTACTATTCCCTGTGAATATAAAACACAGACTAAATGGATATGTTTTCCCCCTAAAATGTTTTCAGGGCACGGTGAGCACTCATTTGGTTCCTTGGACCCATTTGGTACAGAAGGATCATAAAGAACCACCGTTTTAAAATAATGTGCTCATTGATGAGCCATGTTAAATATTCACGGGTTTCTGTTTTCAATACGTTTCCACCGAAGGTGCGACCAATGACTCCATGAAACTGGCCCTTTGCCTTGGCTGCCCTGCCCTGCCCACAGTCCATGACCCGTGTTTGTTATAAAAATGCCTTTGACTTCTGCCAGTTTTGTTTGTTTTTTCTAATTCCAAATCAAATTGTTTAGAAAGTGTAAGTGTAAAGTGGCGGATTTTTCAAACAAAATGTTTTTTGTAAACCTACATGTAGACAGTAGCTCCTCAGCTTTTAGATCCCACTGACAAAAACAGTACCAGAGCCCGTCTTCACTCCCCCAATCTTGGTTTTCTACCCATCCCTTTTTACACAGGTGCTGGTGAGAGGTTACCATGGAAACCAGGACAGTGATACAGCAGGAGCAGGCGTCGCAGATGTCTCACAGCATGCAAGTGTCCTCCCAGAAGAAGAAGAAGACCTTCAAGTCCAGGTGCAAACACAAAAGACGTCGCAGTCAGACACAACAGAGAGGAAGCAGCGGAGGAATATCTGAAAAAAAAAACTTATAAAAACTGACCAACTGTAAAAAGATTACAAAAATATAAAAATACAATATTACAGTTTATATTATATTCCAATTGACAATGTTTTCTACAGAGATATGGAACTGGAAATAAAATAGAAATCATATAAATATAGACAAAGATAAGAGACGGTATAATGGATGGATGGATGAAACCATAGTTGTCTGTGTGTGTGTGTAGGTGATAGATGATGGATAGATAGATGGATGGATGGATGTGGATAGCTGTATACGGTTAAATACAGTCGTAGTTTAATCTGTTCTCACCACCAGGGGACACGTTTTTTTTTTTTTACACGTTAAAAGTGTATTAACCTCAGCCCACATTATTAGGTCTGAAAAATATTACATTTACACTTTACTCTCCAAGATGTGAGTTCGTGAAAATGAGTGAAGTGTAAAGAAGGTATAATTTTGTTTTTCCAAAAACATGATGGA